GCTTTTGCTGCTGCAGCTGCTGCAGCTGCTGCAGCTGCTGCCGCTGTTCCTGTTGCTGCATTTGCTGCTGTTCCTGCTGTATCTGTTCCTGTTGCTCCAGTGTTTGTTTTTGCTGCTGCTGTTGCTGCTCCAGCTGTTTCTGTTGCTGCAGCCGTTGCTGCTTCTCCAGTTGCTGTTGCTGTTGCTCTTTCATTTGTTGCTTTTGCTGTTGCTCCTGCTCCTGCTGCCGCTGCTTCAAGAATTGTTCCTTTTGCTGCTTCTGCCTCTCCTCCAGTTGTTGCTGCCGTTCCTTTTGTTGCTGCTTTTCCTGTTGCTGTTTCAGCTGCTCCTGCCGATGCTGTTGCAGCTGCTGCTGCTGCTGTTGCACGTTCTCTTTTTCCTGCTGTGCTTCTATCAGCTGCTCCTTTAGAGTTTGCTGCTGCCTCTCCTGTTGCTGCTGATGCTGTTCGTGCTCCTGCTGCTGCCGCATCTGCTGCAGCTGCTGCTCCTGTAGAGCTTGCAGCTTTTTTTCTAGCTGTAGTTCCAGTTCCAGCTGTTGCTGCTGCCGTTGCTGCTGCTGCTGCCGCTGCTGCTGCTGCTGCCGCTGCTCTTTTTCTCGCTGCAGCTTTTGCTGATGTAGCTCCTGCAGTTTCTGCTGCTGCAGCTGCTCTTCTTTGAGTTGCTGCTGCAGCCTGTGTTCGTTTTGCTTCTGCTCCTGACGCTTCTGATGCAGCTGCTGCTCCTGTTGCAGCTGCTGCTGCTGCCTTTCCCTGTTGTCCTGCTGCTGTCGCAGCTGCTGCTCTCGCAGCTGCTGCTGGAAATGCTGCTGCAGCAGCAGTTGCTGTTGCTGCTGCTGCTGGCGGCAGTTGTCTGCGTCTGCTTCTTGCTGCGCTGCTCGAGCCTTCCTTGCAAGTGCAGCAGCAGCAGCTGCTGCTGCTGTTACTGCTGCAGCATACTGGGGTGGCTCTGGAGGAGGCGATGGGTAGCTTGTGCAGTGCAGCCGCTTCAGCCCGTAGCTGCTGCTGCTGCTGCTGCTGAAGTTGCTGCTGTTCTCGCGCTTGCCGTATGTCTTAACGACCGCGTTTTGGCGAGAGCTATTGCTCCTGCTGCTGCTGCTGCTGCTGCTGCTGCTTGGAGGGTGCGAAGCAACAGCAGCGGGGGCGCTGCAGGACCAACCCGGACCACTGGTCTCCCTGCCATCTCCCCAAGCCCGGTGGGGGGCCCCTGGGGGCCCCCAGGGGGCCCCCCGGTCCGCCGGGGGAGGAGGGGGCCCCCCCGGAGGGGGCCTAGGAACGGGGTACCTGTGCCCTCTGGGGGGCCCCCTGAAAGGGGAGGGGCCCCTGAAGGGGGGCCCCTCTTCTTGGAACTCAGGGTCTTCGAGATGCTGCAGCAGCGGCTGCTGCCATGGCGGAAGGTCTGTCCTGCTGCTGCAGCTGATGGTGCTTTTGCTGCTGCTGCGGCTCCTGCTGCTGCTGCAGCGGGGGTAAGCAACGCGGGGCGGGGGGCCCCCCGAAAAGCCCAGGGCCCCCGCCCTGTGGGGCAAATGCCGGGGGCCCCTCCTCGGAGAAGAATAGGGTCTTGGGCTTTCTCTCGAGGCCATCCGAGGGGCCCCCTCAGGGGGCCCCCTGCAGGGGCTGGGGGAGAAGTCCTGCGGCGGGGGCGAAGGTGGGGGCCCCCTGGGGGCCCCGGGGGCCCCGGGGGCCCCC